CAAGGGAGAGAAATAAAAACACCAAGGAGGTCCCAGACCCATTAGGCTTTCTCCAGGGGAGGGGAGCAGGATCAGCTTCTGGTCTGGAGAGGTAGGACCCTAGGTCAGGGTCAGAGAGGGCTGGGGGTGGGGAGAGCAGGGGCAGGCAGGTAAGAAAGTCCAGCCCAACTCTGACTCAGGGAGTGTTGCCCAGAACAGGGGGAGGGCGGCAACACAGCTGGAGTACCCAGACAGCCAGTCTGTAGTCTGATTTTCGAAGGCAGGTATTTCACCTTTCCAAACTGAGTCGGCCAAACCCCTGCACACACCGCCCTCTGGCGGCCATAACCGGCAACGACAGTGATCTGGTCACCTCCTTGCTCGGAAGAAGTGGGGCTGCTGCTCTTGCCAGCCAGTGCACCTTACCCCTCAACCGGCTGGCTAGCCGAGTGCATCTTCGGTGATTCCAATCAAGGGACTGCGACTGTGGGACAGTGTGGAGCTGGGAGGCTGAGAATATGCAGCGGAAACAAGACGCAGGAGGCCGACTTCTCGGGACTTGTGCGATGCAACTCACACATGAGGGGGTTTACTGGGACTCCACTGAGGGAGCCAGAGGATAGGAGCAAGATGGTAAAAAGCCAGTGCTCCAGCCGCCCAGCTTCCTGCCCAGAGCACAGCCTGCTGTTTGAACAGGCGGCTGGATGGCCTGGAGGCAAAAAGGGAGGGCATGAGCCCAGGACTGGCTTGCAGCCAGTGTTGCCGAGGAAGCCGAGAAGGCTCTTTCTTAAAGATGAATGCCTGGGGCTTTTGTAGAGAAAAGCCATTAGAACCATCCACAGAACCTGATTCCACCAGGCTCCTAAGGCCGGGAGTTCTGGCTCCATGTACATTCTAAGTTACGTAGAACTTTAATATCAGCAGCACTTTTCACTGTAAGGTTCAAGAAGCCTGCAAAGACTATAATTTCCAGCATTATCATAATGTCAATACTTTAAACTAAAGCACTTAGTCACTCTTTTCTGTGTATCCAGAGAAGATAATGTCACAGTAACTGGATATACACAGTCATCCACTTTCAAAATAGACAAACAATTTTCTCGTAACAGTTGCACATTTTATGTTTCATTTTCTCCTGGAGCTTTTATTTCCATTGCGTACAACCCTAGGAATGTCTTCATGCATCCTGGAAAACCCAGGGTTTCCTGCAGGAAGGACCCATGACCTCTTTCCTGTACACCCTCGTGTCCCTTTGACTGAGCTACCTCACTCTGACTGGGTCACTTCCCAGGAAGATCCTGAACCAGTTGGGTGTATTCCCAGCTCAGCGAATTGTTGAAAAATTCCACAACCCCTTGTTTGTGCATCGAGAAAGGTCTGACCCAAGGTCCGGTGTTCCGAGACACAAGTCCTTCTAGTTTTAACACTCTTAAGATCACTGCTCACTTAAACAAGTAATCTCATATACGAATAGGTACATTTACTGGGAACTTATAAAGTACCAGGCACTGTGCTAAGAGCTTTATATACATGTACATTATTAACTCATAATCTTCACCAAGCAACTCAAAACTATTTTTCATACTATGAATCCATTTTATTAACCAAAGGAACTGCCTTCTAAGAGTTCTAAAAATCGTGCCGCCCAGGAATTACAGGAATTTAACAGCCAGGAATTTAAAAGTTTAGGCAATATTGTGATAATTTCCCACCAACGCCAGGCACCTGAGACAGTGTATTGAGACCTGTTGAGGAGCTAGCCACCAAGAAATATTTTAATTTCTTTCTGTAGAGCGATTTTCAATTAACTAAACTCCACACAGTAAGTGAGTGGAATAATTGACTTGGACCCACATAAAGCTTCAGGATACGCAGTTCAAAGCAGACCCCAATGGGTGTCTTTGAAGAGCCGCGCCGCTTGGAAGTTACCGCTAGAGGGCGGCAGAGCACAGCGGACCTAGACCAGTTAGGGAGCACTTGAAACCAGGCTTGTTTTGTCCAGTGAACCCCACAGAAAAAGCTGTGCAGAGAGTGCATCTGACCTCACCGCCGAACCCACAGCTTCTCATCAAGAGGAAAGGAAGCAGGTGCCTGCAGCAAGGTTATGGGACACTTATTTCCAATAGAATTAGAATGTGAACCACGTACAGTTTCTAATAGCCACTAAAAATAGTATTTACCTTCACATATTCAAAATGTTGTCATTTAAACATGTTTATTAATTAATAAATAAATAACTAACATAAAATTATTATGAGCTCTTTTGAAATTTGATGCACTTCTATCTATAGCACGTCACAGTTTGGGTTAGTCACAGTTCAAGGGCTTGTGACTGTAGACATATAATTTCCATCAGTAAAAACCTCCTACAGGACAGGGCCCGTAAGAAGGCCCCAAGGGTTCCAGTAACTTCCCCAGGAGGAGGTCAGGCCATGGACCTCTCCCAGCCTCCCTACATGTGCCCCAGCCCATGACTCCTGCAGATACTTTACCAGGAGTTGCGATCTCTGTCCTCACTCCCAAGCCCCTCCTTGCTCCACCAGAGCTGTTTTCTATATAGCACAGCAGGGTGTGAGACCCCAGTTAGGAAACTTCCCCAGGATCCTCATGTCTCTTAAGCCCCCTCTGATCTGAAACCAGAGCTTTGCAGGTGTGAGAAGGTTCTAGAGTTTAAATAGATTCCCCTTAAAAGATTGGTTTGGAAGACAACAGCACCCAGATTCTAGACCGGTTCCACTGAGAGAAGCAGATCTTAGAGAGGTGAGAACAGGCTCAGGAACCCACCAAGCCTGGTGCCCATCACGCTCTGGGGGCCTTGGACAAATGTCTTGAAGAGCTCTACGTGTCTCAGTTTCCTTCTCTGTAAAATGTGGATTAATAATAGTACTTATCCAATAAGCTTGTTGTGAGTATTGAATGAGATACTTATAAAAGCACATGGGGTCTCTCTGGTGGCACAAGGGGTTAAGATGCAACCTATGAAGCAAGCCGCATCCTCTGCAGCATGAGTTCGATTCCCAGCTGCAGGGAGAAACCCACATGGCGCAGCAGACCACTTCTGACTCGCCCACTGCTCCCCTCAGCAGTGTACTCTGGTCTATTTGCCTGTTCTTCTCCCCACTCTGTCTCTGGTGAATCCTCTCACCCCCGGCATCTCTGGCCTGTACCCCCGCTCTTGTATACATAAATAAATAAATCTTTAAAAAAAAAAGCACATGGCACATAGTGAGAGCTAAATAAATGGTAACTCTTAAATATCTACATTTGCATAACTGCATTTTGAGGTGTTCAGTTATTTGGCAAAATACATGAACCGCTGAGAACCATCTCAAATGCTACACTGCCAGGGGTCCTGGCATCAGTCTGATCCAAGTCCTGTCTGTGGTTCCTGGATTGGCTGTTTGGACCTCACCTTCTGCTGCTTTTAGCCAAATGGACCCCATCATTGCCAGTCTCACCACGAAAAGTTTTAAACATACAGAAAAAGCCAATTGAAACACCTTGTAAAAAATCTAGTTATTAGCTATTAAATTGCTTGTGCTTACAAAACGCTTGCGAAATGTCAGATGATTTTCTTTTAATGTGCTTTAACACACTGACTTTCCACAACAGTGCAATGAATTAGATTTTATATTGTACCTAACAGGTCATCCAGTCAGGAAGTGGAGAAGATTCAAATGCAGACAGTCTGGCTCCAGAGTCTGATCCTGGGCCACCCTTTTCTACTTTACACCAGCAAAATCTGTTCCTTCAACCCTTAGGCCTGACCTTTAAAACTCTCTCTTGCAAAGGACCTTCAGCCACTCCAGTTCCTGCCCTCCCCAAGCTGTGGTGTGGCCTGTGTCCAGGGGCGCCTGGTTCAGGCCTCTGGCAGACCTATCACGTGACATCACTGAGTTATGCTAGATTTGAGTTCCTCATACCAGGGTGTCAACCTCTGAGTGGTGACAAGGCCCAGGCCCAGCATTGGGAGCCGACAGGCCAAGCCTTGGTTTCTGGTTCTGCCACTGCCCCTCTGGGTGCATTAAACAAAAGGCTTAAATTGTGTGCCTCACATGAGTGCTTTGGCAAATGGACAAGTTTAGTTGATGTTTTATAAAGCAGCTGTCCTGTCTTCAAAGTCAATGACTGTTCTTTGTTTTTCTCTGAATTAAAAAATAAGATAGTTTGGGCCTCCCTGGTGGCGCAGCGGTTGAGCGCTGGGTTGCGAAGCTGCCTGCAGCCTCTGCAGCACCGGTTCAATCCCCAGCTGCTCCCCAGCCACCGGAGGAGGGTCCCACATGGTGAGCAGCTCTCTCCTGCCGCCCGCTGCTCCCCTCAGCAGTGTTCTTTGGCCCTTCTGCCTGTTCTGTTCCCCGCTCTGGCTCTGGTGAATTCTCTCACCCTCCCGCGCTTCTGACTGTACCCAGTGCTTGTATAAATAATAAATAAATAAATCTTTAAAAAAAAAAAAGATAGTTTCTTTATAATGATGAAATGACATGATCTGCATATTGATATGAAGGCAATTCAGTCACAACCTAAAATTTTATTTTTTTAAATTTAAAAAAGAGATTTATTTGTTTATGCATACAAGAACTGGGGTGTAGGCCAGATGTGTGGAGAGGGGGTGGTGGTGAGAGGATTCACCAGAGAGAGGGGGAGCAGAACAGGCAGATCTACTGAAATACACTGCTGAGGGGAGTAGCGGGCAAGACAGGAGAGGTCTGCTGTGCCTTGTGAGTAGCTCCCTGGCCGGGAATTGAAACTTGTGCTGCAGAGGCTGTGGATAGCTTCACAGTCCTGTACTTAACCCCTTGAGCCACCAGGGAGGCTCACAACCTAAAACTTTAAATACACTTGCTTTTTGACTCAGCAATTCTATTTCTAGGGAATTACCTACAATTATATTTTCACAGGCTAAAAATTATATATGCATAAGATATTCATTGTAACAAAAGATTGGAAGTTGCCAAAATATCCCACACTAGAAAACCATTTAATATATCCATCAGATGGGATACTGTGAAATCATGAACAATGTTTGCTTCGATAGCACATATACTAAAGTTGGAACAATACAGAGATTAACATGGTCTCTGCACAAAGATGACATGCAAATTCATGAAGCATTCCATATTTAAAAAAAAGAAATCATGAACAAGAATGAGCTGGCTCATGTAGAGTGAGACAAACCAGTTCCAAGATTTCAAAAAAGAGCAAGGTTCAGAATAGAGTGGAAAATGTTACAGTTCACGTCAAAACTAAAACAAAAATCTATATATCATAAATGGTTTCACATGCATTGAGTACCTTAGAAGAAAAGGCCCAAAACTGCTTCCAGACACGGCCTCTGGGTAGGCAGCTGCAGAACTGGGCATCAGACATGGGATAGAGGCTGACTTTTCCTTAACAACCCTTTTCGAATGTTATATGATGCATGTGTATTGATTATATTTGAAATTAATTTAAAAATAAAAATGAACACCTGAAGACACTCTGCTTCAGCTGGAACCTTTTTCCAGAGATGAGCACAAATGGCCAATAGGTTCATGAAAAGATACTCAACATTACTAATTACCATAGAAATGCAGATGAAACCCACAAGCCATCAGCTCGCACTTGTCAGAATGACTATTCTCAAAAAGATAAAAGATAACAATAGTGAAGATGTGCAGGAAAGGAAACTCTGTGCTCTGGTGCTGGGAATGTAAATTGGGACAGCCACTATGGAAAACAGTATGGAGGATGTTCAAAAATTAAAAAATGTATTTAGCAATCCCACTTCTGGGTGTTTATCTGAAAGAAATGAAAATACTACCTTGAGCTATCTGCACCCCCATATTCATTGTAGCATTACTTATAATAGTCAAGACCCAGAAGCAACCTAAGCGTCCATCAATGGATGACTGGATAAAGAAAACATGGTGTATATATACACACAATGGAACATTATTCAGTGGTGAAAAAGGAAAGGCTGTCATTTGTGACAACATGGATGGACCTTGAGGGCTGTATGATAAGTTAAATAATTCAGACAGAGAAAGACCAAAATTGTATGATCTTACTTGGGTGTGAAATCTTTTTAAGAAAATTCCCAAACTTGCAGAAACAGAGAGTAGATTGGTGATTGCCAGAAGCTGAAGGGAGGGGAAATGAGTGCAGGTGGTCAAAGAGTAAACTTTCAGTTATAAAATGAATAAGTGCTGGGGATCTCCTGTCCGGCATGGTGACAGTAGTTAACAATGCTGTTATCTATACTTGAAAGTTCTCAAAATACACACCCACAAATGTTAGTGGGAGGTGATGATTTGTTAACTTACCTTATTATTGTAAATACTTTGCGGTATATACATATACCAAATCATTATAGCGAATGCCTTAAATCTACAGAACTGCAATCATATCTCAATAAAGCTGAGAGAAAAAAATCTGTGCCAGTCGTAATAAAGGAAATGCAAATTAAAACAATAGATTATACTTTTTACCATCGGATCTGTGGGCTTTCAAGTCTGGTGTTGAGTGTTGGCTCACGCTGTCTGTCATACCTGGTTGGTGGCAGGTTAACAACTTGTAAAACACTTGTAAGTATCTAGTCGAGTACTTTACAGGACCCTAAGACCATGAGATCCCATTTGCAGTGTGAATTCAAAGCCAAATGTAGAGCTGTGTCCCCACCCTAGTTCAACATCAGACCTGAAGCAGCAGTCCTGAGGGGGCTGGGCCCAGATTGGGGGCGCTGGTCAAAGGACACTGGCCTTGTTCTACTGTTTCTGTTATAGAGCAACCCCGATATTAAACGGGTTCCTGGCTGTGGGTCCTCACCCGCGCGCTTTAAAGGGACTTATGAATACTCTACTACAGACACACGCAAAAGGGTTAATAAAAGGTTTATTTACAAGAGAAAAAGAAATAAGGAAAATGTACAACTCAGGGAGAAAATAGGGAAATAAAGTCTTTAATGCGTCCTACCCGATCCGACGACCTGGAAACCCAAAGTCACTCTCAGAGCTGACCGGACGCTCCGAGCTGGCTGAGAGCCCAAAAATGGAGAGAGCCCCAAAGCCCACGTGTCTGCCTTTTGTATCCACCTGGCTGCTTAACCCCACCCTCAGGTCCCAGCCACCTTCCCTTGGGTGGTGATGGGATTTGGAGTTCCCAGTGTCTTTGGCTTTGGCCTGGGGTGGGGGTGGAGTCCACAAAGCCTATATGGAATTTGCTTTGGGACATCCTTTTTCCCCTAACATTTCCATTTCTTTCTTTCCTTTTTTTTTTTTAAAGACTTATTTTTATTTATTTATGCATACAAGAACTGGAGTGTAGGCCAGAGGTTTGGGGGTGGGGGTGAGAGGATTCACTAGAGACAGAGTGGGGAGCATAACAGGTGGATCTACTGAAATACACTGCTGAGGGGAGCAGCGGGTGAGACAGGAGAGGTCTGCTGCACTATATGTGGGTTAGTGCCCTGGCCTGGAATCAAACAGTGCCACAGTGGCTAGCAGTAGCTTGATAACATTGAGACTTTAACCCCTGTGCCACCTGGGAGGACCCTCCATTTATTTTCTTAATATAAGAAGCATGTACTGATGTGTTGCTTGTATAATTAAACATTAAAAAAATTTAAAATTAACAATGGTTTCTGCTTTCATTTATAATTCTGTTTTACAAACATGGTTCTTGGGAAAAGAAAAAAGAAAATGATAGAGGAAAAGACAATTCTATGGCCTAGGGTAATATTTTACTCACTTTCTTCCCATGTATTTTTTTAAAGACTTATTTTTATTTATTTATGCGTACAAGAACTGGAGTGAAGGCCAGAGGTGGGGGTTGAGAGGATTCACCACAGAGAGTGGGGAGCAGAACAGGCAGTTCTGCTGAAATACACTGCTGAGGGGAGCAGGGGGCGAGGCAGGAGAGGTCTGCTGCACCATGTGGGTAGCTCCCTGGCCAGGGATCAAACTCATGTTGCAGTGGCTGGCTATACCTTCATATCGTTGAGACTTTAACTCCTGCGCCACCAGGGAGGCCCTCCCATGCATTTTTTATGCATGGTTTGCTCCTGTGCAATGCTTGATGACACACATAATTTGATATTGTTTTTTTTCCATGTTAACTTCACAACCTGACATTGGGTAACATCTGTGACTGGTCCCTGAGTCTCTGCATACATTACTGACCTCAGAAAGTACAGGTAAGAGAATGCCTGTGTAAGAGGTGGAGGTGGGGGTGGGGTGGGGAGTACTGTGTGCTCAGGGAGAATTTCTTCACCTTGTCATTACTTACCTTTGGGTCTGAGTAATGCTTGGCTATGAGGGGGCTGTCCTGTGCCCAAAGACAATCCCTAGTCTCTGCCCACTGAGTGCCCACTTGGCCCTCCTGCCACGATGGTGACAATCTGCAATGTCTCCAGACACTGCCAAGTGTCACCTGGAGGTAAGGTTGCCAGATTCAGCTAATAAAAAGATATGCCTGGCTAAATTTCAAATTTAACTGGACATTCAATGTCCAATAAGCAAAAATAATTTTTAAGTATAAGTGTATCCCAAAGGACATTTTGGGTAGGAGATGTACTTACACTGAGAAATTTCTTGTTTACCTGAAACTCTAATTTAGCTGAAGATTCTGGTTTTATCTATCAACCCAGAGGTGGAGGTGGAGGGATAATCCTGAGGGGAGAGGCTCTGCCCTAAGGCACCAGACAGAAAGGAGAAGACAGAGGAGGTTCTTGCTCCCTGGGGCTTGAACAAACAACAGGATGCTGTGCTGAGAGGCCCAGAAGTTTCCTCAAGTGCCTGGTTGGGCTGGGCCTTTAACTGCTAGTTCTGCTTCTCCCTCCTCCACTTCTCCCTCGCACCAGCTCTCCCCAAGGGAGACCTACTCATGACCAATTCACACTCTGTCTCTCACAGACCCAAAGACCAACACAGTCTCCAGCCGGCAGGTGTGAGGGCCCGTGTCTTCCTGGTCTGAGTCTCCTGGGCCTTCTTCACTCAGGGTATGGGGAGGTGGGAGTCCCTCAGTGGTGAGCCTCGGGAGCCTGGCAGGATCACTGGAGGAGGGGTAGAAGCTGGAGGTGGTGGGTGAGCTGTCCAGTGGTTTTATCATTTGTTTATTGAGTGCTTGAGTGTGCTGAGCACTGTGCTAGGTGCGGGGATGTCCCAGATGGTCCCAAACTCAGGTGGGCAGGTTCAGTGGTGCCGGCAGGGCCTTTGGTCAGCGCCATCTGGGAGAGGGTGTCCAGAGGACTGTCCTGTCTAGTCTGCGGGGGAGAAGGGTGATCAGCAGCACAGCTCTGGACATATGTGGAGTCCAAGGTGCCGAGACATATGGGCAGATGTCCAGGTGGCAGAGAGCCTGCAGGTCTGGGAGAAGGATGGGATGTCAGAGCTGGTAAGAGAGAGAAGTGGGGGAAGAGAGCGCCTGAGGGTCCCAGTGTTTAGGAACCATGAGGGGGTTTAGAAGAAATGGTCAGCAAGCTGGCCGGGGTTGATGTCCCGCAGGCCAGGGGAGAAGAGAGCACTGATAACCAGGAGGAGCAGCGGCAGGAAGCAGCTCTGCTGAGACACAGAGGAGTGGAGGATGACACAGGCACTGAGGACACTGGGGAACACAGTTCTGGGAACCCACTTTAGGAGGAGCACTGACAGTGGTACAGATCCAGGGAAGGCCAGTGTCATTCAGGGAGACGTATGAATGAACTGGGGGTGCCAGCAGAAGGGACTGTCCCACGGCCATGAACCTCTTACAGCTTCAGTCTCTCGCGCGCAGGGCCTGGCTCGGCAGTACTGGTCTGCCCTCTCCCACAGCATATCCTGCCACCTCCAGCTGGGCTCCTTCCTATTCCTTGGACCTGGCAGATGAGCTCCCACCTCAGGGTCTTTGGCCTGCTGTTCCCCCTGCCCAGAACATTTCTCTAGTATATTCTCATTTCCTTTGGGGCTTGACTAAATTTTATTGTCTCCACTAGGCTTGTCCTGCTAATCAATTTAAAATAGCCTGATTGGAAAAAAGGCAGAGGATCCAAACAGACACTTCTCCCAAGAAGATATACAGATGGCCAACAGGCACATGAAAAGCTGTGCTGTCATCACTTATGACCAGGGAAGTGCAAATCAAAATAATAATGAGACATACTTAATACCTG